CCTGAGCTGAAGGCAGACGATTAACCGACTGAGCCACCCAGGCGCCCGATTTCATTCTTTTTTATGGCTGAGTAATATTCCTGTGTGTGTGTGTGTGTGTGTGTGTGTGTGTGTGTGTGTGTGTGTGTGAGACATCTTTTTTTCTTTTTTTAAAAGACTTTGTTGGGGCGCCTGGGTGGCTCAGTCGTTAAGCGTCTGCCTTCGGCTCAGGTCATGATCCCAGGGTCCTGGGATCGAGCCTGGCATCGGGCTCCCTGCTCGGCGGGAAGCCTGCTTCTCCCTCTCCCACTCCCCCTGCTTGTGTTCTTGCTCTCACTGTCTCTCTCTCTGTGTCAAGTAAATAAGAAAAATCTTTTAAAAAAATACTAAAAGACTTTATTTATTTATTTGAGAGAGAGAGGGAGTGAAAGAGAGAGAGAGATTGAGAGCACCAGATGGGGGAGAGGCAGAGGGAGAGGCAAAAGCAGGTTCCCTGCTTTAAGGGAGCCCAACGTGAGGCTTGATCCCAGGACTCTGAGATCATGACCTGAGCAGAAGGCAGACGCTTAACCGACTGAGCCACCCAGGCGCCCCTCCACATCTTTATCTTGATGGACACTTGGGCTGTTCCCATAATTTGGCTATTGTAGATAATGCTGCTATAAACATCAGGGTGCTTGTATCTCCCCCCGCCTTTTTAAAACACGGGGCTTGAACTCATGACCCTGAGATCAAGACCTGAGCTGAGATCAAGAGTGGGACGCTTAACCAACTGAGCCACCCAGATGCCCCAGTCTTTCTCTGAATTAATATTTTTGTATTCTTTGGGTAAATACCTAGTAGTGCAATTGCTGGATCATAGGGTAGTTCTATTTTTTAACTTTTTGAGGAAACTCCATACTGTTTTCCAGAGTGGCTGCACCAGTTTGCATTCCCACCAACAGTGTAAGAGGGTTCCCCTTTCTCTACATCCTTATCTACATCTGTTGTTTCCTGTGTTGTTAATTTTAGCCATTCTGACAGGTGTGAGGTGCTATCTCATTGAAGTTTTGCTTTGCATTTCCCTGATGACAAATGATGTTGAGCATCTTTTCAAATGTCTATTCATGTCTTCTGCACATTTTTTTAGTTGGGTTATTCATTTTTGGGGTGTTTAGTTTGATAAGTTCTTTATATATTTTGGATACTAATCCTTTATCAGATATGTCATTTGCAAATATCTTCTCCCATTCAGTAGGTTGCCTTTTAGTTTTGTTGATTGTTTCCTTTGCTGTGCAGAAGATTTTTATTGTGATGAAGTTCCAATAGTTTATTTTTCCTTTTGTTTCCTTTGCCTCAGGAGACATATCTAGAAGGATGTTGCTACAGCCGATGCCTAAGAGGTTCCTGCTGGTGTTCTCTAGGATTTTTGTGGTTTTGGGGCTCACACTTAGGTCTTTAATCCATTTTGACTTAATTTTGTGTTTGGTGTAAGAAGGTGGTTCAGCTTCATTCTTTTTTATGTTGTCCAGTTTCCCCAACACCATTTGTTGAAGAGACTGTCTTCTTCCCATTGGATATTCTTTCCTGCTTTGTTGAAGATTAGTTGACCATATAGTTGTGGGTTAATTCTATTTGCAATATTTTGAAGAACCTCCACACTGCTTTTCATAGTGGCTACACCATTTTGCGTTCCCGCCAACAGTGTACAAAGGTTCCAGGTTCTCCACATCCTCACCAACACTTGTCTTTTGTGTAGCACTTGTTTTAAGAGTCAAATGATGGGTGCCTGGCTGGCTCAGTTGGTGGAGCATGTGCTCTTGATCTTGGGGTTGTGAGTTCGAACCCCATGTTGGGTGTTGAGAGTACTTAAAAATAAAGTATTTAAAAAACAAGAGTCAAATGAGATAGTGCACAAAAGCTCTAAGTCCAAAAGCCTGAAAAATACCAGGAGTTTGGCAAAAATTATTCTCACTGTTGGTCCCTCATGTACCTCCTACTCTACCAGGAACAGGCCCCTGAAACCTCACTCTCCCACCTCCACAAAAACCCCAGTTCCACCTCTGGTTAGCAGTGCTCCCAAGCCCCACCTCACTAAATGCTGTCACTTGCAGAATCCATGAGGCTCCAGTGACTAGAAAGAAGTTTCATCGAATTCTGAACAGGAAGTAGCAATGGCAGCTGATAATCTGTGACTGAATATAGCCATCCATTATCTCACTGTGGTTTCTTGTTTCTCTGACAGAGGAAACACCCACGACTTTCTTGAAGTTATTCTAAACACTCAGTTCCTTGTTAGCTCTGGAAGGATAATGTTACCCTGGGCACTGCTGTGCTTCAGGCTGTGGCCTCCCTGCCTCCCTGGGGCTCCCAGCTCAGCAGCCAACCTGTGGGGTAACTGTCCCCTCTACCTGGGGGACAGTGATAGGAACAAACCAGGAATGAGGCCCACAGGGGGGATGGCTGTTGGAAGAGGAAAGTAAGCAAAGCAAGAAACCTTAACTACAACATCCACTTTTTGTTCTTCTTCAAGAAACCAGCCAGGCAGAATTGACACGCTGGGAACGTATGTGTCCCCAGTTTCTTTTCATCGTCACGAGTTTCTATGTTGCACTCCATCTCCGGATGCTTCCCTCTGGTTCTGTTCTTCTAAAGGGAAGCAAATCTGTCCTAGTGGGTCTACCCTCCAGCTGAGGAGCAGAGCCCAGGCCCAAGTCTCAAGTTTGAGCAGAAAGGCGCTATTGACCCCTGTTTTTGTAAAACTCAGCGTCCAGGAGGCTCTTAGCCAAATTACACAGTAGGCACTTTGTTGTTGGCTTCGCCTTCCGCCGGCCGTCTCCTGCCCAGCCTGTTCTCTACCAAAGCTATCATGATGCGATGTCACTTACCACGACATCTGGGAAATTCATTCTGAAGAATTATGGATTTCATGTGTTGCCTCTCTCAGGAGCACTTATATTTTAAAAGAGAACTCTTGAGACAATAATGCTTAAATCAAAGGACTCCATCTCTAAATGACTTCACGATAGCTGGGTTTGTGGGGAAGGGGAGGCCTCAGGACTTTTCCTGGCCCCCTGGTGGCCGTCACGTCTCAGTGGGTTCTCCGGATGTAGATGACACAGCATGACTCTAGTTTTCAAAACACTGTTCTTTTTCTGAAGAGGAACAGAAAGGTGGAACTCCTATAATTTGGTCAGAACAAAATGGGGAAGCTGTAAGAGCAGGTGGCTGCAAAGCCCAGGAAGATGTGTTCAAAAGCTGCTCTCCCAGGCACAGAGCTCGTGCTCAGAGCTAGAGGGCTCCAGGAAAGCTGGAGGAGCACAGGGTCACGCAGGGATTCTGAGACACAGTGGAAGCAACACCACCTTGGCAGGGATGAAACCAGCTCTCTGACTGCTCGGCTCTGCCACCTTGCCAGTTGAGCAACGAGCAGCCCCTAACCTTTCCAGAGCTCATTCTCTTCAATGAAAATACTCCAGGCAGGAAAAATACACACTGAGATGTTGACCATGGTCCACTCTGGGTGTGCAATTACAGGTAAAGTTGGTTTCTTCTCAACACCTATATCAAGGGTTAATTAGAGATGCAGAACCTCTAAGAATGACACAGAGTTAGGGGTTTATTATAGGGATTTGATGTAATGTGATTGTGGGAGCTGGTTAAACAGCTTGTGTGCTCTTGCTGCTTATGTTTTTGGTGCTGGACCTGAAATCAGGAGGGTAGGTAGTCAGGAAGAATAAAGAGACATGAAATATGGGGGAGTGAGGGCAAACTGGAAATTGCAAGAAAAATGTGACACCCACAAGGTGACGTGGATCCTGCATCAGTCTCTCACTGCCTTCACAACCTCCACCTTCAGTGACGTCAGGGACTTGCAAAGGAGCTGGGTCCTTTGGCATGGAGCTAAACACATATTTGACCCAAGAGTTGAACAAGTTGAAGGATGAGATCTGGTGGGAAGTGTGGGTCCAACTGCCCTCCCATGCCAACAAGGTGGGCCAGCAGATCTAAGACAATGTGTGTGAGTTACAATAGTGCCTGCCTCTATACAGACATTCTGAGCATAAACATGACTGCTTCACGTCTACCCTTCAAGTTTTATGCAAATTTTCTTGTGGCCAACTCTAGCCCAGAACCAGACAAGGAAAAAAAAATTCTGAAAAACATAGTTCTAGGTTAGCTAAGTTGACATAGTACAAAGCCATCATGATTCCTTTCTGTATTTGCCAAACCTTCTTCAATTAGCAGGTATTGCTTTAGTAACCGGGAAAAACAAAACTTTAAGAAGTCCCTAGAATATCCAAATGGCTAATAAATACTCAATTCACTAATCAACAGGACAATGCAAATTAAAAGCACAATAGGATACCCCTACACATCACACCAGAATGGCTAAAATAAAAAAGACTGACAATACTACATGTTGGTGAGGATATGGAGCAACTGGAACTCTCACACATTGCTAGTGGGAGTGTAAATTGATTAGAACCACCTTGGAAAAATATCTGATAATATCTGTCGAAGTCAAACATATGCATACCTTACGATAAGCAGTCACATTTCTAGAAAAACATATGTTCACTAAAAGATATGTACAAGAATGCTCATAGTGCCATTATTTATAATAGCTAAAAGCCATAAACAATTCAAATGTCCACCAAAAATAGAAGGGATAAATAAATCATGGTGAATTCATATAATGGAGTCTTACACAGCAACGGGAAAAAATAGTCTATAACTACATACTATAGTTAGGGTGAATATCACATATATAATGTTAAGTGGAAGAAGACAGAAAGGGATACATATTTATAATTCCATTTATGTCAAGTTCAAAAACAGGAAAAAATTAATCTATGCTTTTAATTCACAAATAGGAATTACCCTTGAGAGACTAGTGACAGGAAGGGGTCAAGGGAGGGCTTCTGGTATGCTAGTGACATTCTCTTTCTTCATTTAGGTTTTGGTTATATGAAGGTGTTTGCTGTTTGAAAATTTATAGAGCTGTATTGTTATGATTTGTGTACTTTTCTGTATATGTTATACTTCCACAAAAAGTTAGCAGAAAGAAAAAAATTGGTAATCTTGGTTTAGGAAACTAGTGATAACTACTCTCATTATATCACAAATTGAGGGGATTCAAATGCAATAATGTGGATTACAGTGCTTGGGGGGGAAAAAAACCCTGGGGAATACATAGACATAGGAATAAGGAGAGAGAATATTTAACCTGGGTTGGTATCTTCTTTTTAATCATGGTAAAATATATGTAACATATAATTTACTACTTAATGCTTTTGGTTTTCTTTTTAAGAGAATATGTGTGGTTGTATGCATTGCAGGGAAGGTGCTGGTTAGTGAGAAGTGAGAAGGAAAGACAGGTTTCCTGTGTCCCTGATCAGCTTCTGTCATGCTGCCTTCATTCACTCTGCTTGTTCAGCTAAGATCTCATGACCAAGCAGGGTAATTCACTGCCTCTTGGAGTCAGTCCCTTCATTGCCTGTGGGTGATTCTCCAGCCCCCTGAAGTCAGGTGAGATCTGATGACAGGAGCTCCTATGAGCTCTAGAAGTGTCACTGAATCTAGATCCCACTCTGTTCCCTCACTACCACAACACACACATTCAGCCTTGCCTGTGACTATCTCGACTCCTGAAGCTCTTCTTTTCATCAGCAGCCATGGGAAAGACCAGGATTACAAATTCAGTAAGAGGTTTGTTTGTTTGTTTGTTTGTTTGAGGGAGACGGGGAAAGGGGCAAAGGGAGAGGGAGAGAGAGAATCTCAAGCAAGCTCCGTGCCCTGCGCCGAGCCCAAAGTGGGGCTTGACCTCACAACCCTGATACCATGACCTGAGCCGAAATCAAGAGTCAGGTGCTTAACCAACTGAGCTACCCAGGCACCTTCAGCAAGGGTTTTAAAGGGCAGTCCCAGGACAGCAGTAGTGACATCAGTTTTGCTCTCCAGAGTGTTAACATGTCTGCATTTCTAGGCTCACTTGGGCAGTTGGTTCTTTATTTGGCTCCAACACCAACACCAGCGCCATCTGGAGAAGGAAGGAACTCATAGCTCTTAAATACCTACACTGGAGCGGAAGCCAAGGATCACCGAAAAACCTGTCCCTGATAATGCCAGTGGTGAGAAATAATTGAGTACCTACTGTGTGCTTGGCATGATGCTCCCAGCAAGACACCCACGCCTCTTGGAGACCAGCAGAGGGCTCAGGACTCAGCCAAGTGCAGATTCCCTGAGCTATAGCTTTTTAAGGGGAAGAGAAATCTGGATAAATTACAATGGGTGACTCATTCTCCCTCTTCCTGGAAGCCCAGTCAACCCCAGATTTTATTGTCCTAAAATCAGGTTAAAATAAACACCACAAACATTTATGCAAAGAGTGGTCTGGAAAGATAATACAGTAGTTATCTTTGAGTGGTGGCTTAAGGTTGATATTTCCCTCTTTCTTGTACTCTTTAAGGCAGACTGTGTAATAAACACATGGCCTTTGGAAAGCAAGCACTTGGGTTCAAATCTCAACTTTGCTGTGTACTGTCTATGTGACTTTGGGCAACTTACTTCACCTGTATGAACTTTCATCTTATTATCTGTAAATGGGGATGATAACAAACCTGAGTAAAATGATGCACATTAAGTGCTTTCATATGGTGTCTTATGCAAAGAAAATACTCCATGAACAGGTGCAGTTATTGTTATATTTCTCTATTGTTTGATATTTTTCAACAAACACATTTTTAAAATAAAAATAATAAAGATTTTTTTATTAAAAAAAAAAACACAAGGACAGCCCTGAAAGGGAAGAGAGTTTGTAAGACGGCATGTGGAACCTTAGGGGGTGCGGGTCAAAGGGGGGAGGGGCTTAGCCATGGAGCTGGAGTTAGGGGTTGAATTGGACTGTGAGCCTTTCTTTTTTGGCCTCCAGCTGAGGAGCCACCTCTTTCTGCTCTGGGCCACTGCCCCTGGCACCCTAAGCTCAGACAGAAGAACAATTGCCCCAGTTAGCTCTACTCTGGCAACATCTCTGATTCTAGAGAATCCCAGTGCATACCGGCTACCAGAGGGTTTCTTGCCATGATGTGGGTACAGGGTGACCTGACCGGCTCAGCACAAAACTCCTATCATTTCATCTCCTGTTCTGATATGCTGTGTCTGTGAGTACTGCTTTAAAAACCTCTAAAGGTTGGCCCCCTGAAATCACACCTCTCTAGTCCCTGGTGCTGGTGATTCATTTCACATTTGAGAAGACATTCACTATGTCACCATCAAGAGAGCCCTAGAAAAGGGACGTAGTCCTTAGAGGTGGCATCCTCCCTCCCTTCTCTGGGGTGATTCTTTTTCCTTTAAGTGGATGCTTGCTCTGGCTCTCCATGCCTGGGCCTGGCACTCAGCACAAACTGTGGGTTTTGCCTTTTGTCACACTGAGCATGCCTCCTGCAATCGAGGCTGGGGCACACATTCTCCCATATTTGGGAGTAAGCTGGAGACTTGGCGGCATGTGGGTTTCTGTTTAAAATTCCAAAGCCAGCGGGGTGTATATTATCCATTTCCTCAAATCCAACATGCTGTAAAGCATGAGTCAGAGTCAGATAAGCTCCTTCCCAGGGGAAGTTGTGTCAGTTGGTTAGTGAATGTAATTAAACAAGGATAATGTTCACTGGCATTAGCTGCAGATTAATGCAGAGGAAGACAAAATCTCCATCTTGAGCATACAATCTTCCTGCCAAGATAGGACAACTTCTCCAAGTGTCACTGGTCAGAGAAGGCAGTCCAAACTTAAGGCAATCTGAAGGGCATAGAAAGACCCCTCCATCAATCGTCTCCTTCCACATAAATGAATAATGCAGATGTCAGGACCTTTGGAGAGGAGGGATGTATATTCTGATTATTTTTAAGGTATTTTGTGAGGAGGGTTACATGTTAGCCAGTCTCAGTGAGGGTTATTTTATCTGCTTTAATCCATCATCATCACTCAGGGCCAGGTGGTTGAAAGCTGACTCTGAGGGAATGGAACATGGGACAGATAAAATTTGATAAGCACTGGGAATGATATTCAGCTTATTGTGCTTTGCATACCAATGGGTCTTTTGGGAGGGAAGTTAGGAAATGAGGGGTGTGTCTAGAGGACATTGGAAACCCATGGTTTCTATTGCACACTTTTGCCTAGACAAGCCCTTTTCCAAAACATGGAAATCACAGAATAGAAAGTCAATTCTGGAAAGGCTGTTGGAGGTCATTTAGTCCAACCCCTCTTCGAAGAAGAACAAATTGAGGTCCCCCCAGAGAGGTTAAGTCATTTGTCCAAGTTCACCGAGCAAGTTAGTGGCAGAGTTGAGACTTAATTCTCCTCTTTTCATCTCTCTACCAAGTTGCTCCGGGAACCGTAAGAGCTAACACTCAGGCTGACCTCACTGGCCATCCTGCAAATATCCACTTGGTCCTGCCTTTTCCAAATATAACCTCTGCACAGGGGAGGAGAAGCAATGCTAAACCTTATCTGAGAAACTAATGCATCCTGCCACTAAGGTCCCTCCTGCCTTGAACAGCAGAAATAATTCCAAAATGTATTTTTTCTTCGTTCCAGTAACAAGTGTGCTACATTTCATACAACTGAGAAACAAAGCTTACTGTTAACTAGAACAGGCTCTGGGGTTAAAGAAAAAGGGATTCGTGAATGTTCTTTTAGCTATCTGATGAAGCATTCCCTCCCCCACCCTCCCCCACCTTCCACTTGACCAAAGTCAGTGATCAAGTATACTTAGAAATATGTTTGATCACGGGGTGCCTGGGTGGCCCTATTGGTTAAGTGGCTGACTCTTGATTTCAGCTCAGTTCATGATCTCAGGGTCCTGGGATTGAGCCCTGCGTCGGGCTCTGCCCTGGGCAGGGGAGTCGGCTTCAGGATTTTCTCCTTCTGCCCCTCCCCCTGCTTGCTTGCTTCAAACGCTCGTGTTCTCTCTCTCTTCTCTCTCAAACAAACAAATAAATCTTCAAAAAAAAAGAAAGAAAGAAAGAAAGAGAGAAAGAAAGAAAGAAAGAAAAAGAAATATACTTGATTTTTTTTTTCATTTCTCTGTGTTTCAGTGTTTTCAAGTGCCCCTTCTGATGTAGGTCAAAGCATTTTGTTTTTCTTAAATGTGATATTGAAGTCTTTCTGCCCAGATAGCATGGAAAAGACTTTTCCAAATAAGGAAGTTTTGCTGCAGTGTGTGGGACTCAAGCAGCAGCCGCTGCTGCCATCCTAACTTAGTCAAATACAGTAGCTCCACTTTCCACGAAGCCAGGAAGCATTTAGGGACCCATTAGCCTTTTGCACAGCTGAACCATTGGGGTTGGGGGGTGCTGCCAGCAGGTGGTTGTGGCAATCAGGGACACTACAAGGAAAAAAAAATTGTAGAGAAGGCAAAATTTGGTTTCAGCACACGCCTGCTCTCCACATTCCCTCCTTCTCAGCCCCAGCATCCTGAAAGTGTTTATTCTCTATTCAGGACAGAAAGTGGATGCTTTGATGTTTTGCAATCAGATAGCTAGGAGTTAAAATCCCAGCTCTCCACATATAATGTGACCTTCAGTAAGTTATTTAACTTTTTTAGACTTTTCCCTTTCTTTCTCTTTCTTTCTTTCTTTCTTTCTTTCTTTCTTTCTTTCTTTCTTTCTTTCTTTCTTTCTTTCTTCTTTTTTAAAGATTATTTATTTATTTAGAGACAGCATGAGTGGGGAGGGGCAGAGGGAAGAAAGAGAATCCCAAGCAGTCTCCTCACTGAGCACAGAGATGGACAAATGGCTTGATTGATCTCATGACCCTGAGATCATGACCTGAGCCCAAATCAAGAGTCAGGCACTTAACGGACTGAGTCATCCAGGTGCCCTTAGCCTCTTCCCTTTCTTTTAAAGTAAAAATGAAGGGCGCCTGGGTGGCTGAGTCGCTTAAGCATCTGCCTTTGGCTTAGGTCATGATCCCAGGGTCCTGCTCAGCAGGGAGTCAGCTTCTTCCTCTCCCTCTGCCTCTGCCCTTCCCCCTGTTTGTGCGCTTGTTCTCTCTCTCCCTAATAAATAAATGAAATCTTTAAAAAAAATAAAAGTAAAGTAAAAATGATACTGCTTATCTCTTGGCATTGTCATGAGCAGTAAATAACCTAATAAATATGCAGTAAATAACCTAATAATGTAATACATACTAATGTCCCAATTCCCCTTCTTAGGCTCTAAAATTACTTGTTTTCCATCCTTTTTAAAGTACCTCCTCTGCTACCAGAACACCTTCATCTGTACTTAACCAAGGGTGAAGAGGAAAGTGTGATTATTAAAATAATTTGTGCTAAGGTGTGAGTGACTACAGTAAAAATTTATTAGCCCATATGAATTTCTGACTTCTGTAACCTGGGATGTTGTTGTAAGTGAAATGAAGAATTTCCCTGCAGTAATGAAGACATATTTTCTTTTGTAATGCTCCTTAATTTATACCACTATGCCTTGCTCCACCTGCCCCTAAAGCCTACTCAGCCTTTTAGGGTGAGAAGAGCAAGTGCTCCATAAGAGTCTCTACAATTCTGGAAACTTGATAAACAGGATCTTTTTTTTCCCCCTTCTAGATAGAAGAATGCTCATCACCATATTTTCAGAAATGTTGAAAAACACATACTCTTTTAGACTGCTAAGTTCAGATCATAATATAGTGAGAATCTTTGACAGAAGTTTCTTACCTGAACAGTAGGGCCTGTTCCCAAGGTCATACCCAAACGGAACAACAATTAACCCAAGACCAAATAGATCTTAAGATAGCCTTGATGTAAAATGGTGCAGCCACTTTGGAAAAACAATCTGGCAGTTTCTCAGAAGGTTAAACATATGGCCCAGTAATTCCACTCCAGGTATACACCCCAATATAAATGAAAATATATATTTACACAAAAACTTGCACATGAATGTTCATAGCAGCATTATTCACAATAGCTAAGAAGTAGAAACAACCCAAATGTCCATTAACTAATGAATGGATAAACAAAACATGGCACATCTGTACAATGGAATATTATTCAGCCATAAAAAGAAAGGAAGTACTGATACAAGCTGCAACATGGATGAACTCTGAAAACATTATGATAAATGAAAAAAGTCTGACACAAAAGGCCACATATTGTATGATGCCATTTATATGAAATTTCCAGAATAGGCAAATTCATAGAGACAGAAAAAAGATTAGTAGTTGCCTAGGGTGGGAGAAAAGAGGAGTTCTTATTCATTTGTTTTGTTTTGTTTCTATGATTCTTTTAATTATTTTAACAATTTTATTTTTTTATTTATTTATTTGAGAGAGAGATTGAGCTCGTGGGGGGAGGGGGCAGGGAAGGGAGGGGCAGAGGGAGAAAGAGAATCTTTTTTTTTTTAAGGATTTAATTTATTTATTTGACAGAGACACAGCGAGAGGGGGAACACAAGCAGGGGGGGTGGGGGAGGGAGAAGCAGGCTTCCCACTGAGCGAGGAGCCTGATGTGGGGCTTGATCCCAGGACCTTGGGACCATGACTGGAGCTGAAGGCAGGTGCTTAATGACTGAGCCACCCAGGTGCCCCGAG